ACTTGAATTTTGAAGAAAGTATATTTTTTTTCAATGATGAAAGCAAATATTTTTTTTTAATTTTTAAGGTTGGCTGCTGTACAATTTGTATTATAAGCGAGGTCAGACGTTGTACTCAAATGAGTTGAAAATAAAATCACATAACTCTTTAAATTTTGCGTCAAAATTTGAATATCCCTCATATACACATAATTCAATTAAAGAATAAATTATGGCCAGAGTGTCGATAGCAGAAGTGAGATGTATATCCACTGCTGCAGCCATGACACAGATTTTATTTTCGTTTCCAACAGCCGGTAGGAGGTTATTTTGCAATTTATTGCACTGCAGTTTATTTGCAAAGCGCGCACAATTCCCACTTTGATCACGAGTCAACAGACCGAGTAATTCACCAGAGAGTTCGAGAAACCTCGCATTCAATGCAGCATTATTTTCTTTGGCTGGCTGCAGCGCCGATCTAAAGGCGTATATTTAAATCGGTGCGCATTTAACTTTCATTAATGCAAATGTAGCTGGGAGTGCGTGATTTGCAAATAAAAAAGGGGCGAATAAACTCAGGCTGGCCTCCAGGCCAACGAGACATTTCCTTATTGTTCCTCATGCATAAGCTAATAAAACGGAATCTCTGTTTACTTTTTATCACGATCGAGTTATTAATAAGAAGAAAAAAATACGCCGATTGCGAAACTTGACGAAAACAAGAAGTTGCAGGCTTTGTCGGCACTTTCCAAGGCAGCAAGTGAAGATTTACTATAAGTTCGTCTAACTTCTCTAGTGTTTTTCTAGCTCGAGAATATTATATATGAAGTCGAGTGGAATGTGTTATATATTTCTCTAATGCGGACAGTTTATGGTCTGATCGTCGTGAGTTCGCGAAGGCTGCTGCTTCTTGCCGAGCTCCATCATAACACGCTCAAGTGAATGTGAAATGTATAATGTGCACACGTTCTGTAGGAGAAAAAGGACGGGGCAGAGTAGAGTCGCGTGTTTATTATTATTCCCATCTCTTCTCGTCTCCGTTGCCTGCACTCAACGTTATTGATAAAAATATTAAATATTCAAGGTTTTTCGTCTTTCCCGACGGTCGTTTCTCCTGCAGCCAGCGCAATTACTGACGGACGTTAATAATCCGTCCGACACGGAGAGAGGCAACCGTCCTTTCAAGAGAGAAAGACCCGCCTGGCCAATAAAGGAGCTTTTTAAGCTGATTATATTCGTAATTGGTTCTGGTAACGAGCCTTATGAGAGCAAATGTTGCCCAAAAGGCAGACGCAACTGTTCGCGAAAATGTAGTCTAAGTAAAATGGCCCTCATTAAAATTTCAAAGAGCTTCTCTCTGTTTATGCAAACATTTTTGCAAATTGAAACAGAGAAGCTGAATCAGTGCAGCGAGCAGAACAAAAAATTAAACAAAAGCAAACTTCTTAATGGAAAGGATCGTAATGAATTCTGCTTCCAACAAGCTTTCTTGATATTTATGAAATGCAATTTGCTCAAAAGAAAAAAAAGATTTATAATTAAATAGGAATTAAAAGTTGCATTTAATTCATGATCTGATTTTAAAGTCAGTTTAAATTGCTGTTTAACAAATCCATTAGCTAAAATTGTAGCCATTTCAAAGAAAAACATAGTGCTCCCGCGTGCTATTAAGATTATTAAAAACAGAGTCCAAGTTCTCCCTCTCAGCAAATCAGACAAGTTCCTGGCCTACTTCTACAAGCTGAATATGCAAATCAGCTCCATTTTTCGCTGCTTCCCTCTAACTAGCGATATCACGCGCGGGAAATCTCTGTTAATTTATCATTCATTTCAGTGTTAATAATAAGCTTCAGCAGGAAAAAGCTGTTAGAGCAAAAGTTAAAAAGCTTGAATAATGGACATGCATTTAAACAACCTCTACTGTGGGTGAATGTGGCACGCTTCGTGAATTTTTCATGCCATATTATAAAATGACACGACTCCTGAACATTTTACAAAATAGAGGCCAAGAATTTAAATTATTAATGTGCAAAATGCAAATTATAAATATACAAAGCCTGAAACTAGTTAAAAGTTAAAAAAATTGTTAGCCCAGCAAAAATAAAATAGGAATTCGGATTGTTACAATTTCAAAGTACTTTACGTTGGACTATCACAAATGTAAATTTTGCCTTTTCCATATCCGGGAAATTGACCATGTGAAATCAGTCACCTGGATGTTGCTTTCGCAACATTCAAAATGTATTTCAACATTGGCACACCCTAACCGCAATCCTAAACTAAACTAACTCGGAAAGGTTTGGTTTCGCTCGCATGCTGTCAGTGCTCAGCAAACGCGTGTTAGCGCAAATTAGCCCTAAAACTGGCTGCTGACTTGGATGGGGTTTCAACCGAGCACTCTGGGTCAAATAACGCAAACACGATTAAACCTGTATCGCGAGATAAACTGCCGCCACTGGCCGCAGGTTAAGCTCTGCACACCAGCTCCCTATCCCTGCCAACTGAACACTTTCGTGACACCCTCAAAACCGGCCGTATGCAAATTTAGGGGGTTTGTTGGCTTAGTATGAGTTGAATTTAGTAAATATTTCTCTTTATAGAACCAATTAAGATTTTAATTGAACAACTTTAAAAGTGAAGAAATTTCTTAAACAATACAAACATATCGTAAATAAAAATAAATAACATTGAAATTATTGTTAATTTTTACATTTCCTAAAGCCCTTTTGACTACAAAGTTATAATAGCTTGTACAGCAAAATATTAAATCGGGCTTGCCTTCGTCATTGAAAATAGGCCACATTTACTTAGCAAATTTCATATTCAAACCACACACAGCGCCGCTCAACTAACTTATCTGATACAAGGGCGGTGCGCGCGCGATAAGCAATATTGCAAGTGTTCCCGAGACGCTTCACGAAGAGATTTATGTGTGGCAAATGCGCGGCACGGAAACGAGAGTGGAATGAATTTGACTACACCGCGGCAGATAAGTCGGCCGCTTCGACGTTGATTTACAATATCATCTGTTTGGGAATACCAAATTTCGCGCGCGTTATTCTATATCGCGAAATGAATTGACTTCTCCAAACTGATTTTATCCGGCCGCATAAATCTTTCAATTATTTATTTTACAACAAAGATACTTTACCATTGGCCTTGGCACCCCCGCGGCGTGAATCAGTGACGGAATTTGTGCGGTTATGCAACCGGCACGGCGCGTTTGCCAAACGTGTTGCCTATCTTTGCCAAACACGCGGGCGGGCTGCTTCTCCCTTGAGTTATATACGGTGTAGCCCCGTAAGAGTAAAAAGCCAGAGGAGACGAGAATAAGAAAGAAGAAGGCTATCTGTCATTCTTAATCCAAGTGCCAAGTAGTCGAGTTGAATAACAAACGACTCCCCGATGCCGGCCGCAAGAATAAATAACCGCTCGGGGCGTTAGTTTTTTTCCCTCGGCGAAGTCTGCTCCCTCATTAGAATGCCCCACGGTGATAAATTGTTTGCAGGGCGCCCGGTCGGCTTCTCTCAAATAATGATGATGGGTCAACGGGTGACCGCATACGCTAGGTTGCTCGCAGACGATTCGCTGTGGGCTCCTCGCCCCGTCTGCATTTCTTCATCGCGGCACCGAACGTGCCCAGAATTTGCGAGTGTTGTGTGCCGTTCGGCTAGAGAAGAGCAAGCAAGGTGTCGCACGAGGTCTCAAAGGAGGCGCCGAAATTCCACGAAGGCTTAATGCTTTCGGAGACACCGAGAGGAATTTCACCTCTTTGGTTTTTGCGTAAGATGAAAGGGCAAGGCGGAAAAGGTCGTTTCTTAGAGACAAAAGTGGCAGGAAATTCGATCCTATTCGCCTGTCACGACTCTTCTTCAACTGCGTAAAAAGAGTTCTTGCTGAAGTTAAGAGTACTTTTATGAAGGTCATAGAAGGACAAGTACTTTCAGAATTTCAGACACCTGTGCACCGTTTTATTTATAAAAACAGCGGATTTTTTTTGCGCAAAATATAGAATTTGGTATTAAATTAATTGAAAAAATGGCTAAAATTTTTTAAATCCATTTGATAGAAATGTAATTGAATTTAGAAAAGATTTTTACTCTTGATGGTTGATTCAAGGTGTTAGAAGTGAAATTAAGCTTCACCTTAATTAATTATTTGAGTCGTTTATTGCTTCGTACATCAGGATATTTTCTTCTTAATCTCGGAAACAGTAACGACTCAAATACCCATCGAGGAAAAACGACAGGAAATTAAATATCTGCAGTTTACAAGCAGAAAATACTTATTTGAAATTTTCACGAACCTAGTTTATGGAAATCTATTTGTTTTTTACTTAAATTTAATTATTTTTGGGTTAAACATTTGTCAAGTTACTTTTGTAGCAAAAAGGAAAAATGCTAATAATAACATCTACTTCTGTAGAATTCGTGTAGTATTAGCAATTGTGATCGTCAAATTCCTCTCCAAAAGCAGGTAATTAATATAAATTATCTTCCACTTGTCCAAATCAGAGAGAGTGGACAGATAATATAGGCCCTTTATTTGGCGAATTTCAGTGGTTTTATGTCGAGTGGAAAAGATTCATCAGTTGAATCTGACCGACTTTGTTGCTCTCTGCCGTTGCCAACTGTTGTAATTGAGCTTTATTAAATTCCTGAGGACTCCTCAAATATCTTCCATTTCACGTCCCCTTTGATATTGGCTTGACAGGGTGGAAATTTGATTTGTGAAATATATTGGAGTAATGAGAAGTTAATATAAAATCAGATTGATTTGTTGAACTTTTCCGCTTCATAAATGTCAAAGTTCAAAGATGAAAAATTGAAAGGAAATATGAAGCATGCAATTTATAATTTCTAGAGCAAGGAAATAAAATGTTAATTTATTTACCATTTAATGTAAATTTAAAAATAAATTACCAGACTGGAGTGGGGTTGAAAATTTGATTAGCAAAATTTGATGTAACGATGACAGGAAAAGTCTCTACCAATTCTAACGTTAACCTCGTCATGTTCCAGATGCCACCGAACTGTACCAGTCTTTTACCATCGTTCTAGAAAGAGGTAAGTTCTGCAAAAATTTAATCAGTTTTTCCTGTCAAGCTTGAGTTGTGCACAATTTTCTCGAGTGAGGAAGTCAACGTCCAATCTACATTAAATAAAAGTGAAGAGCGCGAGTTTCAATTTAACTAGGCACACTTTTAACATTATTACGGCCCGCTAATAATTGTGCGTGGGTTCGGTGCGCGCGGTCAGAAGGGTGGGCAGCGCGCCGCGCGTAAATAAAAAATCGATAACCGCGCGCTCTTCTCTCCGGCGTGTTGCTTTATTCATGAGACTAAAAGGTGAGTTTAATGTAGGCCACACACACCAGCAGCCAACCGCCCACCGCTCTCTGGTTTTTTCGACCGAATTCAAAAGCTGCCATACCACCTGTTGAGAAAAATTTATTTACGTGCGCTCTTTCGCTGGCTCGTCCGCTGCAAAGCGAGGGTGTTTTATTCGGGGAAAAAACGGGTGCCTAGAAGTGAGGGTGAGGGCACACGAAATTTGATAAATTGCGAGGGCAGGCCCGACATATTTGTGGAAGAGCGCGCGGTGTTGCGCCACCCGTAATAACACGCAGCCATCCTACTTTCCATTACGCCGAGATAACAAGTTTCTTAGACATAATAACGACGAAGTGTTTTGCTAATGGCTTCTCACTCACCCGCATTCAAAGTGCGCCCCCGACGAACGGCTCGCCAGCCTTGTCGAACCAACCTATTCTGCCCTGGGGAACCACTCGAGATCTTATTTACATACCAGTTTGTGTTCAGTCGAGGTAAAACTAACCCAGGCACGCGAATCTTCCAACATGCCATAACATAAAAAAATTCCTTAGGGTTGCATTAATAAATAGAGACTGTATTATATCTCTACATTATCTGTGCAATTTTAATTAAAATATCTTGAAAAACAAATTACAGAATAATAAGCAAGATAATGAAACCAGCGCTATATTTTACTATCAAAATATCGTGTATGTTTTTTGCAGCTTTTTTTAATTCTTTTTTTAACTTTTTCACTATTAATTATGAACTTATTTTCCTTATTGCTACTTTTCATAAAGGAAAATTATCTTTTTCCCCACTGAACAAATATTTAACTCACAATTTCAACTGTTTACATTTGATATTTTACATTTTCATTAGGACAATTAATGTATACATAGTTCATTTAGTCTCTGGTCAGTTGAGCTTGTGCAGCTGCCAAATAATCCTTCTCTCATGGGAAATTTAATCTGACAACTTTGGTGAGCGTACTTGTAACGCCTTTGATACCATGTGAAAGGAAGATCAACGTGAATTGAATTTTTCCAAAAACACGGAGATTCATTGGTACCGTATTAATTTTTTTCTACAAAAATGTGATTAAAAACCTTCCGGAATGAATGATATTTTTTTTTATTAGTCGCATACAAAATTGATTAGCTATATTATTTTTGTGAACGGACAAAATCGAGTTTCTTAGAATCCTCCACATCTGCTCCACATAATGTATGAGAAAATAAAATGGCTTTATTCATTAGTCTATGGTGCTTCGTTTGAAACAGAATTCCATACAAGGTGAGAGATGTGCGCACGGCACACGTGCATGTTGGCAAAATATTTTCCAATAGGGAGCTGCTTTGCTGACCCGAGCTCCGAACAAAGGTCACGTTGCTTGAACAGGTCGGGCGCAGACGAATAAAAAATGGAAATCCTCTTAAGCATGCGTGGAAGGAAAATCCGACGAACATAGATCAATATTTGCTCATGACAGGTGAAATAAAGGGTGAAAAATGAAAACATACGCAGAAAAGCTCGCGTGGCCCTCTCATGCGGATTTCGGACCCGGCAATTCAAACAGGGCCAAAGAGGGTCGAGATGTTGCTTTTTCCGCGGCTAACAAAAACACGTATGGCGGCCTGCCCGCTTTTGATTGCGCGCGTGGTTTGCGATTTTTTGTGCGTAGGTAATCTGTTGGAAGCACAGACCGCCAGAACGTATAATAAAAGAGACGGAGGTACACACGCGTACAAATTGAGACACATGAATGCAAAAAATGAACACAAACAAACATCCTTTCAACTCGAATGATATTTATGTCGTATTAAAAATATCATCTCAATTCACTGCCAAACAACATCTGTCTCTCTAAATAATTTGCAAAAAATAAATAGGGTTTTTTATTACTGCAAAAATAGGGTCTTTTCTTACTACCACTGGCAGATCTCATAAAATATAAAATGAGAGCAATTAAATTTTGTTCCACGGTTGACAGCGCTTTTATCACTTTTCGTTTGTTGCTGCACATGTTTCTGACCTTGTTGTGGGTGCAGTGGAAGAGATTTTTGTTTACGATAAGGACAAAATGCTTAATGAAATTTTGTCAGTAAATAGAAAATCTGGCGCTGCATGTGTATCATATCTAATGTAAAAGTCAAATGTTTAACCTCAATTGTTAATTCTTAAATTTTGAACAGGGTATTTTTGGTTTACTTTTGTTTTATTGATTTTTACATTCCTCATTCAAATGCTATTTTCTTGAAAGCATCAGTCAGAACGTAGGCTCTGTTTGAAATCCCACTATCATCTCCACGCTATCCGCGTTAAATTATTTGGTTAACTAAACTTTCAATATGTACCAAGCACATATTACGGTGTTTAACGGTAGGCAAATTGAAATTGATTAATATAAAAGTAAGTTAATATCAGTTTGTTGAATGTGATGCTGGACTGCTAATTAAATGAGTGGATATAATAACACGGGCTGGCTGGTAATTACGGCAATAATGGCAAGTTCACAGTTCAGCTCCCAGAGCAGGCACCGGGTTTGGCTCAGCACCAAAGTCGAGTTGAGAAACTTTGGTCTTCTCTATATCAGCTCTCGCTGCTGCTAGATAGAGAGGGACGGAGAGATGTAACACGGTTTGAATAAAACTCTCCATCTGCACGCTCATGAAATTTATATGAATGCTAATGCGGGAAAAGTGGAGCGACGCTATCATTGGCGGTCCTTCTTCATTTCCACGTATAATATCGTCACACAAGAAACCCGAGAGACTTATTTTCACGTTCAAATCCATTATAATTACGCAATGACGATTTTCTTTGTCTCCTTCTTCTATGCAAACAACATTGCGTATCATTTTCGCTTCCTGCATTGCGGCCATTGAAGCTAATCTCCTTGGAAAAGTCACAATCACCGATTGCGTCTCCCTGTTTCGCAGAACGCACAATGATACCCATAAATAGAAAAATAATAACATTGGCCTTTACGGCTTTTTATTACAAAGTCATTACTCCATTCTTCCTGTAATGATTAGTAATAGTTTTTCTACTCTGCTTAAAATCCCAGCATATTTGTTGACAATTTCTGGATTTAATAAGATATATTTTTACTTTTTAAGCGAATTATAATAAGATTAATAATGTATTGAACACAGCAAAATTTGTAGATTAAAAAAAATCGTTGCTTTTTTACATTTACTTGTACAAATTTATGTTTTATAATTGAAAATAAAAATAATGTATGTTGTAAATTGATCTACGTTTGTACCACATTTATACTGAAATTAATGTAAAATTGTTTATGATCATTTAACGATAAGCAAAGAAATTTTATAAAAACTCTTTTGAACTTTTTGAAGCGTATTCCTCCCTGATAAGAAGCTTTATTACATAAAGGGCAACTCTTTTATCGATCACCAATCTTCAGACATGGCTGTCTGCGTAAGATCCTTAACTAAAAATCACATTACTCACTGAGTGCCTCCTTCAAAGCAAGTGGGCTTCTTACGCACGCTCTCAAACGTTTCCCTTGTCAAGTGCCTGGTGCGAAATTTTGCCGCCATAGCGTTAACATAATTTTCAGTTATTTTTGTTAAAATATTGGTCCAAAGTTGATAGACGAGACGAGAAAAGATGAAGTGGTTGAGGATCGCGACCGACCAGTCCAAACATCCATTAGTCATTCCTCTTGTCGCATGCGGTTGGGCAAAAAGTTCTGGACGGAAGCAATAAAAGAAGCGAGTGCGGGCGCCGAAAAGGTCCGCATAAATATTTGTCACGGAGCAAACCAGTTGCGTGTGTTGCTTCACTTGAACAATTCGGCTCTTGAGTCTGGCTGGCACCTTTGTCTCTGGGGAAGGTTCGCCGCTCTATTGAGATAAATTCGATTACCTTGCTACAGGCCACGGCAGTCCGTTGTCTCTTTTGTGAACAGGCTGTTATTTGTAGTTTGCGGAGAGACGAACGTGAGCGGCTCTCCAAATGACAATTATTGGCCCTATCCAAAATCTATGTAAAATAAATTATTATTGATTGGAATATTGAATCCTAAAGAAGCTTTAAGTTGAAACTGATCAATGTTTGTAATAGGAAAAAGGCACCAGTGAAATTATAATTGAAATATATAATGCAGTAAAAATATTTTATTTAATATTTAACATCTTGATTGTTATTTTTTAATTCATCTATATATTTTTTTAATTTTTCACTTCATATATAAATCATTTTTATGCGAAAACAATTTTTCTTTATGAATTGATTCAAACAAAAAAATCACTTACCCTCCAATTATTAAATAGAGCCACCAAAAGGTCCACACAGAGGAGAGTGAGAGACGCTAAATTTACACGTAGCAAGTAACAAAATCACTAAATTTGATTAATAGGCATCAATGAATTTTGTAAACAATTCTGACCATAGAAAGTTAATTTGACTTTATGGATTGAATCTGGATTGATTAAATTCATTACAAAATTAAAATTTTTATTAAGCTTCTTGAGCAAGAATTTACTAGACTTAAAATCGTGAATTTTGTAATTTTTTTCATTATCACAATCAGTTATCATTTCATAATTTTTTACAACAAATTATGTCATTTTTTTATTCAAATTATTTTTGCTTTAGAGTAAAATTATGAAATTGTTTCATCTCTTCTTTTTATTTCTTTTCTAGTAGCAACTTTCTAGGTTTCTAGTTTCAAAAATATTATTTTTATCAGTGAACAAGCACACATGTTCATTTAAAATTTTA